AGTGCCAGGAAGCTTATTTCATCTTGGAGACAAACTTTTCAGCAGGACATGTTGTGATAGTAAAGGAGGTAATGGTTTTAAACTGGAGGAGGGTCAATTTAGATTAGATGTAAATAAGAATATTTTTACCACGCAGGTAGAGAAACACTAGAACAAGTTGCCCAGACTGATGGTAGATGCCTCATCTCTAGAAAGATTCAGGGTGAGGTTGGACAGGGTTCTGAGGAATCTGATCTAGCTGAAGATGTCCCTACCCATGGCAGTGGGGTTGGACTAGATAGCCTTTAAAGGTCCCTTCCAACCCAAACCTTTCTTTGATCCAGTGATTCAGATTCTCTTATGGTTGAAATGCCTTTGGTTTACCTTTGGAAAGAAATCCATAACACTTGGTGCTGGAATCTCCAGGTGACACTGTGTCAAACAGAGCTGGAAATCTCTCTGCAGCTGGTAGGAATAGGATATACTCAGCATGACCTGTTTTTTTTTCTTCTAAATTCCTCTATTTTCATTCATGAGATTTTAGTGTACAGTTAAGAGTGCTATTAAAAAAGCTGAATGATGGTGAATGTCATGGACTTCCCTACGGCAGAGCAGAGAAGACAACACTAATTAAATGAAATACATAATTCTTGTTTCTGCTACACTATTCTGAGCCAGAGTGTTGTATTCCTCACTGAGCAACACCTGCTACACAGAAAGTGCCCCTAGAGAAATCAGTAGGAGCTGAATTCAGGAAGCAGTCTTTTTTAAGGTAAAAGATTGTTCCCATTACACCACTGAGACTAAAAGTAGCTTGTGCCAGTTAGAATCTGTGAAGTCAAGGAAGCTCCTGTCATTGTCAACACTTCTCCGAATGGATCCTACACCTTTAAACATCTTCTTCAGCTTGGGAAGCTCAAAGAATCAAGGAGGAGGAAGAGGAGGAGGAGGAAGAGTGCTTTGTTAGGCACCTCATGGAGGAGGGGCTGAACCTAGTTCAAATAAACTGCAAACACGTTACAACCTGCTATTAAGGGAAAGAACAGGAGAGGCAATAATAGAAAAACATTTCACAGGAGAGTATTGGATAAGAACAGACTTGCTATGTTTACATGGCACCCTCCCCAGATGTGCTTTGCTAGCTTGCTGAGAGTGCAGCTGACGTATTCCTGATGCTGCCATCCACATTACTTCCAAACTTGGCTGTATTTTTAGAAGGATACCCAAGTCACAGCTGCTGGACACAGTGACTGTTGTGACACCACACTCTTATGTGACCCATAAGAAGCAGGACTTCAGGCTGAGAAAACACTGCCAGCTACGAACACTGAGCACTGGAGGATTTAGCTCTCTCTGAGATCACTCATCCCTTCAGATATTCACGGAACTAACACCCTCCCCCCTCACCTACTAAAGCACTGCTTTTGTTTCCTCAGCTCTGTCTCCAAAGCCATGTTTCCATACTCTTTCCACCTGAGCCTGCATGCCCAGACACCTGCACTAAAGCTACCGTCAGCCTGCAACACATACCAAATTATCCTGGCACCTCTAGTTGCAGGAGTGTGAGCACTGATAGCAGTGATAGCATCACCCACTGCCACGGCAGAGGAATCAAACACAAGCATTCTGCAGGTCATCTTATGGGCAGAATGAAACACACTTCATAAGTAAAGCCAGGTTCATTGTTAGTATGCTTGAAATCTTAACAGTGATCAAAGAATGATTAGTCTCTATTATTAATAAAAGAACAAAGTAACAAAGTAGTTCAGTAACAAAGCAGTTAGAATATTTATGGGTTGTTTTTCTTCTCAGGATCTCCAGTATCATGTGCCCCTTCTCTAGACATCTCATGTCTCTGGTCCTCTACACCACATCCCATTCCTGTTTTCAAGGCCCTGCTTGTATCAGACTGGTATTCATCTGCTATATGGTGCTAAAATCATAAATATGTTGCTCTACACAGAAAACCTGCTTGTTATAGGATCTATAGTATCTATGTACACCATGCAGCTATAGATTGAGAAACAAAGTAAACCAAGTCAGGCAATAGCCACCTGGTCATGAGAAAACTTTTAACAGCCAAACAAGCCACAACAAAGCTCTGGGCAGGTGAAGAGAAGTTCAGACAGAGCAAGCCTGGCATTCCTGAGACAGACCCTGCAGAGCTGGAACAAAACTCGTGCTCTGACACCAGCCATGGGAATCCTGTATTCACTGAACTGTCAGCAGAGATTAGTATTCAGGGACTACTTAGAAGGGAATCCCAAGTTTTTGAAAGAACAATCATTAAGGAAAGCTACTTATCCATAGTCATATTTACACTTGGTGTCTAGTCCTGGCAAATCTGAGAAATGGATGAAATGGATCCAGCTTTTCTTTCTACATTTTCAAACCACCCCTGCTCACCTAATTCAGCCTGTCTGCATTTTATTTCAACAACCACGTTGCAAATTCAAAGGGAAGTTCTCTCCCATAATAAAAGAAGTCAGAAAAACACCCCAAATGCAACCAGCATGTAATAAGAATTTTATTGAATACATTCAGAAAAAAATAGAGCATGAAGACATGAGATTAATTTCTGCATATAATTTCTATTAATGTGCAGAATCAGCCATGCAAAAAGCCATCTCCCTCCCTTCAACCGTAATTCAAGATTCTTATAATGGTAAAATTATTACCACATTAAAAGAGTGTTCCAGACATATAACTCATTACTTTAAAAAGGATCTCCTTCCTGAACAGAGATAAAAAAATTTAGTAGCAAATTGGGAAAGATCAATGATTAAGGGGTACAGTATTTAATCAGTACTCATGCCATGTTTAAAGAATGCAAGCCAAAAATGCATCATTATGTAGAATACATAGATTTTTTTTTTTTCCAAGGCAAAATTCCTAGTAAAACTAATTCCTAAACTACTGAAATGGTGACTTGATAACGTACATGATCCAGAATACCATCCAATTGAAGATTTTTTGGTCAAGTTACATCAGTGCCACGTATGACCTAAGAGTCAGAGTAGCTGAACAGCCCAGTGCTTAACAGTATATTAACATTAAACATAAATTCCAGTTCTTGCAAGAAATATTGTTACAGATACAAGATCACAGAATCATAGAATTGTTAAGGTTGGAAAAACCTCTAGATCACCAACTGTCAAGGTAGCACCACCAGCATGTTCACCACTAAAATCACGTCCTTAAATGCCATATCCACGTTTTTTGAACAGCTGTAGGGATGGTGACAACATTGCTTCCCTGGGCAGCCTGTTGCAATGCTTGACAACCCTTTCCATGAAAAGTGTTTTTCCTAATATCTAATCTAAACCTCCCCTGATGCAACTTGAGGCCGTTTCCTCTCATCCCATCAGTTGTTACCTGGGATGTAACGTTAGGTAGGAAATGTGTAATGTTAGGTAGGAAAATGGGCTTATACATGAGGGATATAATTAAGATTCCTGTCACAAACTTGTACATCTATGCAATTTTTCATATTAAAAAGGGATTGTGAAGGTAAAGTTTTATATGCACCTGGACAGTCAGTTCTGACACATGTAACGTGCTGTGTAAATGTGTAACATGTAAACCCATACTGAAACACAGCTTTCAAAGACTTGTTAATTATAAAAATACAGCAAGACTGTATCAAGTTAATCAACTTGATAAATACAGCACAACCGAAAACGTAAAAAAAGGACAAATTTAACACCAAGTATTCCTGTTGATACTTGTTTGCCATTTAGTTTCATTATTATTAGGTGAAAGCCTACAATCAAAAATCACTTTGCTTACTTTGCAAATCTTGCTTCTGAGAAAGTATCATGACTAGTTTAGTACACCACATTTGGCCTCACCTTCTTTCCGCATTTTTTAATAAAATTTACAGGCAAGACAATATTCCATCTAAGTGTCAGCTACCACTATTCATGTCAAGATGTCATTGCACGAAATACCAAGATCAGCCACTGGTATGTTCAAGCCTATTGTGAGCAACTGTTCAAAACATCCAAATTCAGTGAAAACAGCTCTTGCAGCTTGATGATGGATGCAGACATATGGTTCTAAAAAACTGCTAAGAATTACTGCAGTTAAACAGACTTATGGCAGTCTAGACCATCTGAAAGTTTATCTTCTTATTCTGAAAAGCATCACAGGCCACAGAAAGCTAAGTAATTATTGTAAAACCTATACCTTCTTGCCCGATCAAAGTTGCTGTGGGTTTTACAGGTTATTTGTTTTCTTACTTTTTTAAACAGGTAAATTTTAAAAGTGGTTTTACTGCCACTGATGGGAAAAGTCGTTATAAAACTTTTGAAGTATCTTGAGTTTTGCACTGAACGTACGAACAAAAGGAGAAGAGTAGAAGAAATGAATAAAAAGCAAAAGCAAAATTGAGGAACCATGTTTACAACAGGAGCTTTCTCCTACTTATGGAAAAGGTGACTCATCTATCAGCACAATGTAGTTTGAAAGGGTGTAACAGTTACTGGGTCCCAAAGCCTGCAGTATTAACAGCTGATAGTCCATTCATCCACATTTCTCTCCATTTAGGTTTTAGTATACTAGGGTAGAATATGACTTATTTAAAAACAGAAATTCTGTTTTCCCAAGGAATTCCATTTCCCTTGTAGTTTTTTAAAAACTACATGTAAACCTACTGCATGTAAGGATGAAAATAAAGTGAAAATAAGTCTTCCACATTTTTTCAACATATTTAGGGTATTTATATACCCATATGGATAGACACGTTTGAACTTGCTTCTTAAATAAGAACTTTATCCTGGCATTTAAACACTACTTATTTTGTTTTCCAAGTTCAGAGTTCTGCACGTACAAACACATATGGCATGCTAGTAGCTGCAGCTAACTAGAATTTTTCATCCACTCAAGTGATTGTTCTCAGTATTATATCAGTAAGTGCTTCAATTGTTGGTTCAGAACACCTCAGGGAATATCTGCTTAATCTTCAGAGGATCACTTGGCAGGCACACATTTTTGTAAGCTTGTACCCTATCACTTCATGGTACCTGACATTTTAAAAGTTATTAAAAGAAAACAAAAAGACAGGGGGAAAAAAAACTATTATCAGAGGTTAACAGAATCTATTCAGCAGAACTTAGAGTTGGAATTTTTAATAGGGGTCCAAGAGAGTATGTAACCACACTCCCTTCAAGTAAATGAGGAAAAAGTATCTTGAAATGAAGGTAAAGAAGCACCAAAACAAATTTCATATATACATCACTGGTGTTAGTTTCTTGGTGTTTGGGGATGGTTTCTTTGGTAATGTATTTCCTACTACTTTAATCATGAAGTAGGACTTCAAGTATTGTTAGAGACAGAACTCTGAGCTCAAGTCAAATTGTTCCCGTTGCAAAACAACAAGATTCTTAGAAATCCATATTTCACTTCAGAATGCCTTTACTATGTTCTGTGTTTCTCTTGGCATTATGCCAAGCCTGCCAAGGCTGGTAGATGAGCATCCATGCATTTTAACAGTCCACAGGACTGCTTGTTTACATATATATATAAGATTTGGCACAGTAAATAATGATCTGTATTTGGTATGACTTACATAGGAAAACGTTATTTTTATTTCAGCTGCAAGCCGAAATTAAGAAAATATTCCAAGCAGAAAGAGAAAGCAATATTACTGTGTGTGTTGCTGTTTGGATAAAAATCTCATCTTTACAACTATCCTGTTTTCAGCGACATATCTTTATTGATGAAGAACTGAAAACAAAAATAAGGTCTTGATTTGTAGTTACAGTCTGTTCAAGGAAATAATATTTTTAAAAAATATTTAAATTCATAGGTACAATTAAAATTTGAGACAGACATTTTAAAGCTTGTTGTTTCTCCTAAGATATATCCTATAGATAAATGAAATTCTTAGATTACCATACTCAAAGTTAAAATCTATCTATATGGAAATAATTTTCTCAAGAAACCTACAGTGTGTCCTGGCTTTTCATACTACACATACCCACCTACTCTGAAGAAAGTCTTGAGATTTTGAAAATTGTAGAATAGGACAGAATAGACATTCTAAAGATCGTCAAACATATACAGCACTTTGGTAATTTTACAATAGTCTGTTGTTTGTGTACTCTTCACAGCTGAAATGCTAATTTATCCAGCCATTTCACTGTCCATTCGCTTTTATATTTAACCCTTCAAATAACAAAGGAGTAAAAAAAAAAAAAATCCCTTCTGACCAACTTTTTTTTTTTCATTTTAACCTGATCTCCTGCTTTTATACATCAAAGACAGCAAGAGTCAGTAAGTACTGAAATCCTTAGCAAATATCATTTATTCCATCCCTCCACAGCCAACAGGGATTGAAACAAATGTTCGTTTCAGAAGACAAAAGCGCAAGTCTGTAAGTGTTATTTCATATTATGTTTCTGTAACCTTTTATTCTAGATGTAGAACTGCATGCTATCCAAACTCAGATTTCTGTATCTGCCTTACTGTATGCTTCAGAATGAACAGTGTTGAAGTTAACATGGGCTACCGAGTACATCAAGTCTAAACCGATCAGCTGAAAAACTAACACACACACTGTGAACTGAGAACTGGGATAGTCAGTGGGATATCTACTGGGAGAGTCAGTGCATGGTAGGTAAGGTTGCAAGCAAAGGGCAATAGCTCTTTTACTCTAAATTCCCATGGAGACACTTCATCTAGCATAAATATACTCACGGGAGCAAGAGGAGAAATAGCTATTACGCTTCAAGTTTACACCCCCATTTACTGTGCGTCAAAGTTCTTTGTAGAAGGGAACATATGATCTAGCATTTAAAAAAAAAAATCTATATAAAAGTTAAATATTTGATTACAGTAGCAAGTCACCACTTCATAATGGGAAATAACTTGTCTCTTGGAATCGTTATTGATCCGAACTCTCTTGTTTTGGTTGTGTGTCAGATACTGGTAATTCAAGACTTGCCCATAACAGGGGCTCTGCTTTTCTCATAGTGAGCTCAATCTTTGTAGCTGTCATGTTCACATAACTCCTCTTCACATCAATTACCTAGAACAGAAAATATATTTCACTCTTCAATTTAAGAAACAGACTGCTAGATATCTGGGAATTAAGTTAGGGAGTACCTCATCACTAAATTTCAGTAGCACTTAGGTAGATGGAGATCCCTCTGGTATCTTGAAAAGTCAGGTCTTCCCCAATCCCAAGCTATGGAATGTTAATGGCACAATCACTTGCCCCTGCATATCTAACACTGGCTAACATACATGTAAGCACACAACTATACAGTGTCAAAGGTTTTCTGCAATGGTGTTGCAATCAGAAAGAACCTCGGAAGGTCACCTTCTGTGCCAGCATCAATTATGATGCCACACCTGGGGCATTACGTTCAGATTTAAATGTAATTACTGAATGACATGCAACTGAATTTCTTTCAATAAACAGAGTAATAAGGAAAGCCAAATCATTTTGATAGAGAAGAAGCTAAAGGCTTGTCTTTTGTTTTTTTCTGTTTTGTTTGTTTGTGTGTGTGTGCTTTATTGTTTGTTTTTTTAATAGATAAATTATTCCTATACTTACTCCCCATAACTTCACACTGCGATGAAATTCCTTCTCTCCTTCGAATACAATATGCATATTTACCTTAACAGGAAAAACAACAGAAAATTAGAAAATTTTATCAGGTTAATAAAACATTTGACAACTCAAGCATGTTGAATCAAAATATACCATGTCAAGACTTGGATCCCACAATGACCAAAGTGATCAAACTGTCCCTCAGAAACTGAAGTAAGTATTTTAAAAGATTCTGATACATTAACATAGTCAATAGTGGCCACTGGTAGCTGTATAATTTTCTCCCAGTGCATGATTTACAAATCAGAGCATTTTAACACTTGTTTAATATGACTAGCTGTGAAACAGGATACAATGAAGAATGATATTAAATTACGTTAAGTCAAATACAATTAAACTACTAATCCATAATTATTTACACATACAGTGATGCAAATCCATCATGTATGGGTTTTAACTGCAGAAGTAAAATTAAAGAGTTTTTTCATTTTTGGCATACTTGCAGCTTTTAAAAAGCCATATATTAAAATGCAAATGTCCAAACAGAAGAGGAAAAAAAAGCAAGCTATACATATTTGAACAAACAAAAATGCCAAGAAGAAGTCGTTACTCAAAAAAGACTCTTGTGCTACCTCTGCCTTGAAAATAAAGTCTGAGCAGATTTTCCTATCCTAAAGTTGCTGATCTTAAGGTAGATCCTCACCATTGTGCTATTTGCTTCTACGTAGCTCAGATCAGGAACAGAGTTTTTAGCATACACAGAAATAGTCACTTCTCCTCCAGTCTGGTGCCAATCATGCCTGCATGGAACTACCTTCTTACCCTATATAAGGAAAAAGGTAGAGAAAAAAAGACTTACCATTATATTCAGGAATATTTTTTAAAATATTAATCAGGAAAAAAGCCCAGTCAGTACTTTTCTAGTAGCCAATAAATATATCTTTTTAACCTTTGAATGGAAATATTTTTCATCTTGTAATTCTTCAGTTTGCTCCCAACATTGCAATGAAATACCTACAAACTAAACAGATGTTCTCTCTGTATTTGTTATACCAGTAGCCAAATCAAGACACTTAATTAGAAGAAGACCAGAAAAATCTTCGGATATGTAAACAGAATCCAAATTAGATGGAAAGAGACGCTTCCATCCATGCCCCTTACCCATGGAACCTCACTGACCTTATCTGCCCTGCCATCCCTACCTAAACAAAAACTCGACCCCTGAATGGAACTGGAAGTACAATTATTTTACTCACATCTTAAGTGAAAGAGGAAAGACATCTTAACAATCTTAAAAATAATACATATGGAATGTATTCTATGTAGAATACTACAGACTTACTTAACTAACAGAATGGAAAAGACTGCTCTTTTTTTCTGAGGTTGCCAAAAACTTTTACCATGAAATAGTAATACCACACATCACTAAAAAGAAAGGTAGCTATTACAAATATACCTGTCCCACAGATTACTTTCTACTCCATTTCTCAGTTATACTGCTGTCCACAATATTTCAGAGGTAATAATTTGTAATAGCTCAACTACAGTAATAACTCAAGCAAGCTACACACTACGTTTCAGTATTCAAAATTCAGAAGTCAGCTACAGAGAGCAATCTCAGTGCTTCTTACCGCATCCTTTTTAGTCCATACGTGTGCTCCTCTTGCACAGCCTTCTTGAGCTAAAAATGTATTGAAGTCAGAAGTTTTTCTTTTACAACAGCTCCAATACTTCATCCTTGAGAGTTTGCAAAGTAATTAATAAACAATATTTAGGACGTTATTTACCACGAATACTTAAGACCTTTCCTTTGCACGATATTACTGTTAATTTAGTATACTCTCTTCAGGCACGGCCATTTTTGACTGAACAGGCAATACAAAATAAATCAAGGCAACATCTACAAAGAAAGCATGAAGACATAAAGCACTAGTTAAAAAAACTGAAGTTAACTGAATACTAACCCTTCATGGAATATAGGTACACCAGAATGGTATATACATACTTCTTCTGTGCTGTGTGGTCCTTCGTATGTCTAGTAAAACAAGTAAGTTAAAGTGTGTTACTGTTACAGGATTTGGACCAAAGGAAAAAAAACAAACCAACATACAAAAGAAACACTGAACAAAGCACTACAAAGCTTTTCGGTAAATAATCTAAATCTAATTGCCTGTCCTAGATTTTCAAAGTAGCCATTTGACTTTCATTCACAGAAGGTTCCCTGGCACTGCTAGGAAGCTGTACTTTGTATTAGTGCAATTGCATTGACATCAATGGTGACACCATTTATGCTCATAAAGGTCACTTTAGATCTTCAGAGATACCCAGGTTAAAAATACTCTGAATATTCAGAGCAAACAAGAACTTAACTGGTAAATAAATTTATCATTACACACGGATTCTCAAAATGAAGTAAAATAAACAACATACAACTTTGCCACTGAGTATCAGATCAGTTCTTCCTAACCCAAAGACTGCTGTAAGTTCTCCTCCCACCAGATCTTCAGTAGATAATCAAAGATCTGTCAGGTGATCAATGAAATACCTATTTAAACCCTACTGTCCCGTTTTGTACAACAAAAGGGTGTCAAGTGTAAAAAACTTCCACTTCAAATGACTATGTAATATAACAACTAATAGTGGCGCTAAAGTGTTAAAATGCTGACTTTTTGATTCTTCTGGCAGGAAGCATTAACTGATAAGATCTGTAGATGTTTCTACAGATCCTCACAGACCCTCAAGCGTTATCAGTATGTTACCTCTCACTAATATCATATTTAAGTTGAAAGACATTAGTACCACGGATTTGGCAAGTTTACTAATTAAAAGTTTGGGACAGGTTTAAAAAATATTACCTTTGACTTAACACACTTCAGTATGGACAAATGTGTGTTGTTTGGATTATCAATGTTCACTTTTTAAACCCAATGGACCTTGTGCCTTTTCCAAATCAACTTGTAGAACACAAAAAAATAAAACTGGTTGTTTAATAGTTTAGTAGCTTGGTTTAAGAGTAGAACTGAATCACTTACTTTTGAACAGCCTGCATTTTTACATGCCGTCCCAATCTTGATTTCATCACTATCTTCCTCTGTAAACAGAATAATACAGAAAATAGCAACTGAATTGTATAATCTACTAAACACTTTGCTTTTATTAAGAACTAAAATGAGCCAAGGAGCATATCAGAAAAAAAACTCCCTCTCAAGCTATTTTCTGCCTGGTCCTGAAGTCTGCCAGAGAGGTATAAAGAAACAGAAGTTATGCAAACATTCCAAAAGCACTATTACCTATGCATATAATTCTAGGTTCTATACCTTTACACATTTTAAGTGGGGCAAAAAAAAAATGATGAAGAGGATTATTACAATCACAGGGGAAGAAAACAATCATTCATCTTGTTCAGTTTTGTAAAATGAAGAACCTAAAAGTCTTCCACTACTGTCTATAAATACACACCAGGAAATAACTGGGATACCATGGAGAAAAAAGAGCTATATTAGCTTGGCACAAGAACAAAAGAGCATAAAATAACCATTAACGTAGGTTGAAATTAGAAAGCTTTTCTTAAGCAGCAGTGTAGTTCTGGAACCAAATTCCAAACAAACTGTGGGCAGAGAAAGGAGGAAAAAGAGACAAAGGAGAACCAACTAGTCTTCAGATGAATTTCACCAGTTTATGAAAGACTTTATATGACACCGTGTTTGCAATAGTAGGAGTAAAGTTCACTTTTTGGAAACTCTGGCAGTCATCTATTCAGAAATGGATGTTCCCAGTATGTCTATTTTAACCAGGAAATCTCAGAAAACACACAGTTTAAATAACGTTAAGGACAACATACTGCTCCTGACATCTCACTCTCACATCATTCATATTTAAATTTTGATCATCATTTCCTGGACTGGAAGCTATTTTCCACATTATTAAGAACTAGAATATAATTACATGAAACTATCACTTCAGAAACAACATAAAACAGCATTTCCTTTATTTGTGTGACAATTAGCATCATATACCTCCTTAACCTCCCTCTATCCTTACCTTTTTTCCCTTCATTTTCTGATGATAGTTTCAGTTTATCAAGAGCTTGCTTCAAGGAAGCTGACACTTTCAGCTGTAAATTTGTCATTGGTTCATCTGGGCTAAAAAAAAAAGGCCATATATTTATGTCAGCTTCATGAAAAAAGAATTTACAAGAGACAAAGTAGTAACTTTTAATCTCACTACAAGGCTCTTCCTTTCATACCTCCCTTACAACAACAAATATAATTTGTAAATACTAATCCTTACTGTTTATGGAAAAACAGACTAGAAATTTAGAAGGCAGTCTTGGTTTTCATCAGGAAATCCTAAATACTCTACAATAATAGAAATAAATCCGAGATATTAAGGAATCTAAATACAAGCACCCTAAAATTATTTTTATGACTGTTTAAAACACTGAACACAACTACCAATGACTTTCTAAGCTATGAGGTTATAGACTTCAATTTTTGATTCCTGTAGAGATAAGCACTGAGAGATCCTTGTCATAACCAGAATTCTTTTATCTCATTTTGAAGTCTGAGATAACATCATCACTGCTACCACACAAGTTCTTTTAAGGTTAATTTGGGGATTTTTACACTACACGAAACGTGCAACACTCTATAACCAAGCGAGCTTTAACTTGTCCAACTAACCACAAATTTGAAAAACTTAGTTTCATACACTGTACCTTGGCCTTTTAATTGTTTCCAATGGTTTTGGTGCCTGAATTATGTGTTCTTGAAATCTGGGTTTCAGTTCAGATAGCTCCTTCCGTTCAGAGGTAGTTTTGACTTCTGGTTTAACAGGTTCAGGAGGTTTCTCACTGTTATGGAGACCCTTTGTACAGCCCTATTGTGGAAAGTATATGATTATATAGATGTAGTGTAGTTTGTGTGCACAATTAAAAATTAATGAAAACTGCAACAAGTTTTCTTGACTTATTTCTTCAGCTCCATCTTCTCTTCTAGCCCACTCCAAACATTAGCTGTGGGATTTCCCTTGGAGCCAAAGTGGAAAATATCCTCATTTGGACATAAGTTAAAACAAAAATGCATACTTTCTGTAATCAAGCAAAACAGCAAACAATACTGACCCTCCTTCATTATTGGCAAGTAGTTCTATTAAAACCTATTTAGATAATTATAACCACTAAAGCTTGAAAATGAGACGACTTCAGCATTACATGAAAAAAAAAAAGGTGCATGTAAGAGCTAAGACAGTTTTAACAAAAGTAAGCAAATTTAAAACATGTAAGCACATGTACCATTTAATATTAATCACTGTCATTTGACATATACAAATTGTAAATAATCATGAGTACATACCACAATGCTTAAGAAGTCAGAAAAGTCTGTTGTTCTTCTCTTACAACATGACCAACCCTACAAACATTTTAGAATAAAAACAAAACAAGCATGACTACCACACTTGATAACAGCTTATAAAAAGAAAAATATTAATTATATTACTTTACAAGATATGGCACATCACGACTAGAGATTATTTTTTTCCCTTCAATGGACAATATTATCTGCATTTTTAAAAGCCAGAAAAGTCTGCTACAGTTGGAGCTTCTAGTTCACTTGTGTTGCCTTAATCAAGTTCAGTAAACATGAGGCAACACTTCCATGACAAGTTAGGTGTCAACTCTGTACAATAGAAAACAGAAACATTACTTATCTCATAAAGTAACATGTAAGCAAACAAATACTATACCTGAGACTAAGCTCACCTGTGGCACAAGTAAAGGCCCTCTTCCTAAAATGACAGGGATTTTTTCTTTCCTTGAGCCCTAGTCAAATTTTTCAATTGCTTATTTTCTAACAAAGCTGGATATGTGCATTGCACTACATCAATCAAGAGCACTTTTTATTATGTAAACCAGAAATCCAATTTTAGAGAAAATTGTCTTGCCACTGTGAATAATGTATCTTAGAACTCAAAGAACCTTATTAAAGGCAGCAGTTTGACTAATGCACCATCACCTTGAAAGCTTAAGTGGTATGGCATGATGGGTTTCAGGTAGGTGGTTCTAAGATATCCTCAAAATATTAACCATTTCCACAGTCGAGGAGACAAAAGGTTCACCCTCCCCTCTTAGATTATCTAGAAGTCATAGCAGGAGGAAAAATGCTCAAGTGAAATTATGATAAATTTTTAATTATGACGAGAAATAGGATAAGGAGAAGGGGGAAAGTGTTTTATAAACAGTGCATCTGTAAGAGAAAGAGGGAGTAAACATAAGCTTTTGAGGCAACTGTATAATCTCTGTCTTTATAATTATGTAGAACATTTATGTACTATGTTATGAGCACAACTATAATTTTACAAAAAGAAATTGCCATAGTCTAAGTAATTGGATCATATTTAATCTCAAAGCATTTGTCCCAATTTGCCAGTGACACACAGTGGCCAATTCCTCAGTCATGTACTGCAATATAAGCAATAGCTCGCAGAAAACACGCTGCCCAGCATATATGCAGAAGCTTTCACGAGGCCAAAAGACAACACATTGTGGACTGAGATGCAGTGCCAGAAGAAGCAGTTCCTAAATACCAAGAAAAAAAAAACCTTGTTCCAAAGCTCAGCTAAACAGCAGTTCAGTGTTCTAAGAAATGTCTCTTAGGCTACCTAAAAAGTGCCAGGATCCATTTCTGGACACCAGATTTCTGACTATACACAATTCTTAGAATGATTTCTGGTACTGTTTTGGAAGTTGTGTCTCACTTTGGATGCAATCAGTAGATCCTGAAGTAGGAAAACAGTTTAGCACAAAACCAAATATGGGCTGTCCAGCTGGCCTAAGCGCGGGGGACCAATCGCAGGTACATTCACCATTGAAGAGGTAGCCCAAGAATCCTAGACAGCTGCATCAGAGGCATGGGTAACCAGTCTCAACCAACATTCTCATCTGGCTGATTAAATGAACATGACGGTTTTTTAAGGTAGACAAATGTCATGCACACATTAGATCTTTAGCCACATTAGACCACAAGCAGCTGGTCTGAATTCCAAGCAGGTTAATTAACTGAGAGTATGACACCTCTCAATGGCTCCACAGACCTATTCAGAGGACTTAATTAAACTGTTGAGAGACCTAAACTTAATCAACAGGAAACATGTCATACAGACTTGCATGACATTTAGACCACGAGTAGAGTTTTTAATTTCTTCTTCAGGTTTAAGTGTGCTTTCTCAATTTCATGGGGTTGCTCAAACCTGATACGCTGAACATCAGTTTCTCAACACAGAAAGATCTGGAGTTAAAAAGGAAAAGCAGCACACTGTTTTAGACCTACAGAAATAAATGTAACACTTAAAAGGACAGTTACATACTTACTTTGAGAGCATCATGAAAGACTGGCACACCTGGATGGTAGGTGCATGAATCTACAAGAAAAAGACTATTATTAATACTCAGGCATACTAAGAATCTCTATTCATTTGATTACAAACCCAGCAAAAATTTCACACTTGTAATTCGTGTATGCTATCAGCTGCCCAACTTCCCCAAGTGCACGTAATTACTAAGGAAAATGCAGACTCCAGAGAACAAGTTTTCTGAGTGCATGAAGCAAACCTAAATAATCAGGACTTTGTTGCTTCTGTATTATACATCACCAACTAGAAAGCAGGCATCTAAGACAAACTTTTAGTTCCCTATGGAACAAGAAAACTTTCTATGGACCACCCCTGGCCTTCACCAATAATCAGTCTTTACGGGTAATTCAGCAGAAGCAAAAAGGTGACCTTATGGCCACCCAACAGACAGAAAATACTGATTTACAGCATCAAATACATCTACTTGCACCCGACCGGAGCTTTCTGTGCAGAAGCACTCTGTCAAAAATTCTCTTTTAACGCAAATCTTAAGTTCATGATTTTATCCATGATGATTAGCTTGTTCTTTTTTCAATGTTTTTAGTATCCTAGGTCACCTAAGGACTTAAACCCAAAGGCTAGCCTTCCACGTACACAATTCTGACACATCAACACTATTAATTATTAATGGACTCTGTACAAACACTACACTGAAACACAACCTTCATTAATGAAAGTGTTGATCTTCATAGATGTTTATCAACATTACACAGCTGTTCCTTTTTACTTATGTATTTCTTTTAGGTGTAATATAATTGCTCTGATTATGTAACTTCTCTTTGACATTTATTGCATGCATAGTATTTTATTGACCTGACTCTAAAAGCAACGGGAAACACTAGCTGTTTTCTAGCCCTTAAACCAAAATTTTTTGTATTTGTTAGAAACAGCTAAAATTAAAAGTGAAACAAACAATTTTATGATAAGCCTCCATAAAGTACCAGAGTGAAAAATATCGCAATTGCACATAGTAGGAAGCAAAAGAGAAAAGTGATGAATAACTTTATTAATTACCAGCCTGCAGATATTAAAAAGGGAAAAAAACCCCAAAACCCAAACTTCACTGTTTTCATCTTTTTTATAAATATGTAGATTTTAAAGAAATCTTGTTTAGCATAATTTTCTTTGATTTTATATTCAGTGCCTAAGTCTAAGGCAGTAATACTGTCTGACAGACAGCAGTTTCCACCTTAACTCAGAAGGCACATACTTTGGACATCGGTCCTTCAGTCAGACTTACAAATAGATCCATGAACTTTTATCAATTCCTTCAGCTTCAGGGTGAAAAGCTAATGCTGGTAAACCTCACATGAAAATTTAAAAAAAATCTGGTTATTTTGTATGAAGAGCACTATTCTTTTCCAAAAGTATGACAGTATGTCATCAGAAACATGATGAGAGTAAAAATGAGCTCTGCTTGTAGCTCATTTCTGTATTTCTGATTTAGAAGACTTAAATGACTATTTCCAACTCCTCACAAGCACATGGGTTTCAGTGACAGAGCTGCTGTTAATCACTTGTAACCGTTTTAGAGACTAAAACCATTTTATGGTCGATTAACTCAGAGACAGCTCTTCTCCAGCTCACAAGTCAGATGCAGACAAGTGTCTGTTTGTCCATATGACCAATGCCAATCCTTCTTCCTTGCTCCCTGGAGCCTGTTCTGCAGGAGGTACATCATGGAGTAAACGAAAGCCCCCTTGGCTGCTATTTCATGAGGGCTAGGCATGCTCCACAACAGAAGATGCCAAGACGAGGAGCTCTGCAATGCCTCACACAAAGGCACTGGGATTTTTCCACTAAGCATTCTGACCATTCTCTGTCCTAGAGGGAGCAATACAGTAATTGAATAACAGTAAAACATCAACTCATTTTCGCTCACAGCGAGTCCAACAACTCTTATCTGAGTGAAGTTTACATTCATAGAAGGATCCCATCTCAGACTGTGGCTAAAACTGGAAAATTAGGATATACATCAATGGTCACCCACACAGTTAAAAGCATGTTCTATTTTACATTTTTCACTGAAAAAAAAGTAAAAAATAAATCAAGTTGCCTCTCCACTGTTATTAATAACTTTCCTTGACTAGGAAAAACAAAACTATTTCAAAGCAAGCCATTTTCTCTCACCTTCAGATAATTTTTGGACACCTAAGCACCACAGTTTTTCATGTTTTTGTTCTTGCTGTTTGAGGCTTTTTTAATGCTTATTTCATACCCAAACTGATCCCACTGTGCAAGCACTGCAATCATCTTACCACTACATCCTTGCTTATTTCTTTAAGCACTTTATTAGTCCTTTTATTAAATGTCAAAGTAGAAATTTGTATGGGTCATCCAAACTTAAGAGGTATTTACAATAAAAGCCTGTTGAATTCTTGAGGATGAAATGATGTATCTATCTACACACAGTTTGCAAAGAGCATGTGCTTGTGGTCTGGCAATGGACCAAATTAAACTGCATTAAGAAAAATCAAAATTACAGCCTATACCAAAAAAAGTTACACTGCAGTGAAGAAATCGAGTCAAGCACATGTGACATACACTATTTCAGTCTGGTTTTGCATACCATCTTCAACTGTCACAAAGCAGCATTGCTTTCAAGCCTATGCTAAAGTGTGCATGTATTACCTCATACCACTGTTTTAATGACAAAATATGATCTGCCCTTGAAACAGATTAAAAATGTTCATATGGTCATTCATAGGTTAAAAAAAATAAATCAAAAACCTACTATCTCTTTTGAAGTTAGAATATAACTTCTATGTCAGATACTGTGCAGGTCTTTTACTACTAATTAATCCATACTGTTAATGTATCTAAAACACATGAAATTTGTACCTTGCTAGGCACGCCACAGACAAATTCATAATTATGTGCTCAGTCACAACTGCACAGACATACCTTCAATCCTTTCCCTCAGGCTGTTTTTTCTGCCTCTCTTTAAGAGGCATACAGTCCTTCATGTCAGCCCGTTGTCACTTGTTCACTTTTTGGTAACAATGAGAGTTTCTACAGAGAATACATCAATGTATTATTTCAGCCATCAGATTCTGAAGAGAAGATTAATGGCCTCTTACATCAATCATCACTAAGGGAATGTCTGTACTACAGGCCAAATATTGACATAACCCCCTGAAAGATCCAAAACACCTTTGGGGCCTTCTGGACCCACAGTTTCTACCTATTCACTTAAGAAAACTTCCAAATAATATTTTTTTTTCCTAAACATGTCAATGCAAAATTCATTAAAGGGATCTGTATTTTAGTTTAACACATGTACTAACTTTGAACCCCACAAAACTTTAAGGGTAAAGCCAAACACAGTTCTGAAATAAAAACAAACATTTGAACCTGACTGCATTACACAGTTAAATGTGGATTTAGATGTCTAAGTAGCTATCATCCCACTGACCTTGGTGCAGTTTAGGGATGACAGAAGTCATAATCACTCTACTGCTACAGAAAACATAAAGCTTGGTTTTCTGAAGTGACCTGTGAATAACTATGTTTACCTTTAGAATTGCTTAGTCTGGGACACAGTAACTGTTCTAGTCACTTATCAAAACAAACTTCATCTCAAGAAATTGTTTTCCCCAATCCAAGCACCACAGTTAGCACTTGATCACAAACACAAGAATACGTCGTAAAAAACTGTTCTTTTTACAACGGTACATGGGATGAAACCCCAAAAAGATTTTTTATTATAAATACCCCTATCTGCTTTGTCTTTTAGGGCAAAGGGTGTAGGGATGGTGGTGGAAGAGATCACTAAATGGAAGCATT